ATCAACTGTTCATTTACGACACAGAGAGAGAGAGAGAGAGAGAGAGGCTGTGTATGTATGAATTACCACCGTTTCGCCGCGTTTCTCTATTAACAGTAAAGCTGTGGCTTTAATTCCTTTAGAAACAATGATGCTACCAGCTATTTTTGAGAAAGATAATGTAGCTCTTGAGCGATTAAGCTATTTAGTTGATAAAATTGCGGGGCAGCGCTAAAAAGTTGCAAGCAATCAGAATATTGTACCTGGTGGGGAGTGTCCAATGTAAACATGAAACATATGCCATTACCTATATTGTACTGTGGTACAGTTATGGAGGCCCTTCTAATGCAGAGGTCAACTGCCTGCTCTGCCAATAGTTAGAAATGGCACTATAGTATGCAGTGTTTAATAAACAGCTGTTTTACTAAACTCTTCTGAGGTGAAATTCAATACAGTCACGTATCGTGATACGCATTGTATCGTGGCCTCTGTATCTTGATACGTATTGTATCGTGACTTTGCTGGTGATACACAGCCCTACTAAATATAGCCAAACACATGTGAATGAATTCTCTGTTCTTTTAGCACATGATAGAGGGAAAAAAACAGTTTGTCGGACAACTCTGGAAACGATTGCATTAATAATGTTACACAGAGAAAACATGTTGTTTTACCGCTGGACGCTGGCGGGAGCTCTCCAATCACCGTCTTGAGGCCAATGCTGGAAATATCTCGAAGCTGCTCCTTATCTGATAACATGTTTGTACACAATGTATCAACAATGGTTTCGACCTGGTACTCCTTCACTTTGCTGACAAGTGGGCCCAAACTGCAAGAAATAAGGACTTTTAGTACAATCTCTGAACTGCTTCCTATTTGTCTACTGCTTGCAAAAAACGTCTACTTTTACTGCTACAAAATGGTACATTGCAAGTTATTTCTGTTTAGCATTCAAGTCAGTGTTAATCCATTCACAAGATGGCTTTATCTTCCATAAGGTTTAAAAAGCATCGCTATAAGCTAACCTGTTTTTCATCAGAAAAAAACAGAATGAAATGAAGAGAGATTACTGACTTATTCATGCAATCCCTTCAAAAATATCTAGGGAAAAAAATAATCTTAGAGGCTAATAACAGAGATAAATCAAAGTAAAAAACAGCAATACCTCTCACTAAATCACTGTGGCATGAATCAATTTCACATTAAAACATTTTCAGAGGACAAACTGAAGCCAACTCATGAAGGACACGCTGAAAATATCCAACTAAGAGAAGCTTTCAAGTTCATGCAAACACAGAAACAAATCAACAATTAGGAATGGGCGATATGGGCTTAAAAATATATCACGATAATTTCTGAAACCATTTGAAATTAGAGGCAACGAACCACTGCATTTTAATCATGATTTGCACGGGCAGTTGTTTTTGATTTGATTTAGATTAATTTCAGGATTTAAAACAAAAACAGAATGGTC